CTACTTCTATGCAGGACCGGATTTGCACTTGAAAAGCCCCTAAGTTATTTGAGACTTTTTGTAGGCCTATGTCTAGATAGCGTATGTCAGAACTAAATATGATTTTCAGATATTTAGAGGCTTTAACTTATATACAAAAAAAAAATAGAATCACTTCTAATAAACCGAAAGGACATTACTAAGTCATTATATATGTTCATGCTCTGTAACAGCGCGCTGGTACGCACCATATGCGTCGTCGTAGGAGCAGTTATAACAATATAGAATATAATAGATAAATATTTTTTTAAACAATTATAAAAAAAACATTTACTGCACTACCAACAAAATTCCGAGAATGACTAGCACATAGTGCACATATCTAGTAAAAGTAAAGTATCCCTATCAGACCTTGCGATCTATGGGGCAGATGATGTAAAGGTCATCTGTTTCTGTGACCCACTGTTAACGAGGGTGTCATGTGTCAGCTTAACGATTGGCAATTCGCCTTTTCTTTTCCCCAACTAATGTCAGGTGCCCATTAGAGCTGGGTGGACTCAGAGGCACCCAAAGATCCCGAAATTGAAAAATCGAGGTTCGACACCCGACTCGGGCAGAGTTGTGTTTACTGAGCGCCTAAAGGCAGCACGGAAAACTAACTCCTAGATACCCCACCGGTCCACAAATGAGATTGGACCAAAAGCGCTCTGAGCATGCTATAAGCATGAAAGTAGCGCTATAATAATAATAGACATAACTGGCCTCGACGTTAACTAAAATCTATCTTGCGCACGTTTGTAATTTAGCTGTGCACAATCTTAGCCATACTTTCCGTGTGTAGCTCTCCATCTCTATGGAAAGTTTATAATAGTTCAATATGGAGCCCATCATTTAGTGAAACCTTACAAAAAGATTGAGTCGACCCATCTGGTGTAGAATCTACCGATAAAAAAAGTACCCTGCATTTCTTTATCATTCAAGATTGAGGCTCTTACTCAATTTCCAATAATTTTCATAAATTCATCGCAGATTATTTTAGAAAGACAAGATATAATACCTGATCCTCTACTCTCAAATCTATATTATAAGCGCAAATACCGCTCACTCACTTTCCGACTGATTTATGTATCGAGAGATCTCTTAAACTAGCAAAAGGATTCGTATAAAATTTCGTACATAGGTTCCTTTTACCAGTAAGTTGCTCGCTAAAACGCGGTTTTGACAGCAACCTGACCGTGGCAATTCGCGAAAAAGCACAAGCTCTATCAAACATTTTATTTTATTTCCGGTATTTCCCTCAAAGGCCGCAGTCTAATTAGAAAGCATTTGTAAATTATCAAGAACATAGGACTCCCTGTATATATATATATTATTTCTTTTCTCCTAAGTGAACTTTTTAAACTTGCCTTACGTCATTTCCAATGCAACAGGCTACCAATAGTATTTAGGCCTGTAAGTCTTTTTCTTTTGTGTGTGTGTGTGTGTGTGTGTGTGTATGCGTGTGCGTGCGTGCGTGAGAGAGAGAGAGAGCGAGAGAGAGAGAGAGCAGGGGATAGACCTCTTGTCATTTCGCTAGATTCAAAATGGGGTGAGTTAATCTATTACAGTAAATAAAATGAAATTGATATTTCTTTTTAGAGAACAAAATTTTAAAAAATTTACATTCGCGAAAACCTTTGTATTTTATTTTCGTTTTTTTTTTCTCCAAAAAGGCGAAGTCTACATAAAAAGCATTTTAAAAGCTAGCACGAATTTCGTATTTTTTTCCTTTCCCAAAGTCATTTCCACTTCCTTTTCAAAATAGACTCAAAAACACTGCATGATTTTTTAATTTTTTTTTTACAAATCTTACAAAAGAAAAAAAAAACAAAAAAAAACAACAACTAGATATATAGTCATTTCAAAAGGGGCGAGGTAAACTACTACAATAAATAAAACCAAGAGAAATGTAGAAAGAGGAAAGGGAATGTGTACTAAGGACTAGAACGTTTTGTTGTTGGCTGGGGAGGGGGAGAGAGCGGATGTGCTGAGAGGACTGTACATGGGTGCAGTACGCTCTCACTTGGATTACAGTCTCCCTGTTCAGGTATGGGCTTCGCAAACGACTCTAGCAAGCCTAGATGCTGTTCAGAACCAAGCCATAAGACTAATCTGTGGAACCTTTAGGACAACGCCAATTGCCGCTGGCGAGATTATGGCAAACATCCCACCGTTGAAATTGCGCAGAGAACGAGCCGTCATACTAGCTCACGAGAGATATATGCGGCTGGAAGATGGATGCCCACTCAGAAGTCTGGTCGACAACTGGGAGGGTAGGAGACGCCTCAAAAAACCGGCCCTGCTTCATGCATGTGGCGCGTGGGTTGGTCAGAGAGGCGAATCTGCCGGTGGAGCGGGCTGCTCTTTCCCCGTCCGGTTCTATCTTCCCGATGGAGGCTCTCGGCATGCCGACGATACGGAAGAGCCTACTTGACCCAGTGGTGACTAGGCAGAGTCACCCCACACGGCTACAACAAGCAGCCAGAGAGACTATCGCACCATATCCAGCCGGAGTAACCACCATCTACACAGACGGTTCTGTGCAGACGCTCGAGGGAACTGTGAAAGGTGGGTACGGAGCGGTAGTTCGACTCTCTGGCAATCCCGAAAGTGACGAGCTCAGGGGATCCTGTCAGCAGAAAAGCAGCCTCGAGGCTGAACTCGAAGCAATGTTCCAAGCACTGGACTGGGTGACAACGAAGATACGTAACGGGGCTGCGTCAGCCAACGACATAGTCCTTTTCACGGATTCGATGTCCGCACTAGAGGCCTTAGAGAACTTAATGGAGGTGTTAGAAGGGTATGAGACGTCCTAACAGTCTCCTACGATTCGGCGTGAACGTTACTTTGCAATGGGTGCCCGCCACGACTTGGCTGACCAGCTCGCGAAAACCGCGGTCACAACGGCGCTCGAACATGATGAACCGTACTCTTACCAAAGTGTACGAGCCCTAGCCGACAAACGCTTGTTGGCACTTTGGCACGATGGCTGTGATTCTTCGGACAAGGGACGTGAGCTTTTACCGGGCAATGAGTAGACCAGACAAAAGAGATGCATGGTGGCAACTGAATCGTGCGGAACAGGCGGTCCTAGCCCAGTTCCGGGTCGGACAATGTCCAATTGGTGCTTACCTCGGATGGTGGAAGGAGAATTACGACACACGGTGTCGCCATTGCATGGAGGACGATGAAACAATAGACCACATTCTTTACGAATGCAGAGTTCTGCACGAAGGACGATTGGGACAAGGCTTAGATAGAGAGATAACTGGTTCATGGCCGACACAAAGGCTGTCCTTGTACGGGGACAAGGCAACCTTAAAACTCACTGCTCGCTTCCTCTCACGTGCTCTAAGGGAGTAATTCCCAGCATGTTTTTCGCTGTCAATGGGGTTTTAAGAATCGGGGAGGGGGAGATAAGTCAAAGTGTTACTAAGATGAACGGGCCCAAACTATGAGAGTGTTTATGTGTCGGGGGTGCATTTTGACGCGGGTCTTTTCAATTGAAGTCTATGTTAAAGAAATTACGATACGCATGTAAAAAGAGCGAAGAGAGAGAGAGAGGGAGAGATCTAAAAAGGGGGGGGGGGGGAGAAAGAAGGCAAGCAGGTCGTGAAATTTCATTTGTGCAGATACGGCTAAACATGTGGCCCGTTTATTTAAAAAAAAGGGGGGGAGGGAGGGGTCCGGCCATAATAAACAATAAAAAGCCTTGGAACAAATCGACGGGCGTAGCGAGTGCATACTGCTAGTAGTCAACTAGTTAAATTGCTGTTGTTATGATATTGTAATAACCATGTTCTGTAGTGGCTCTATGGCTGAGCACTAAAATGGACTAAATGAAGGGAAAGAGGAAAAGGAAGTGCGATGATGGATGGATGGTTGTTATTATCGGCCTTGCTTTGTGATCTATTTTGTCTTGCGTTGTTCTAATCCCTATATCAAGTGTCTCAATCTTTTCCATCCTGATCAGCATTGTACTCAATTTCTCTTGGAATTCGATCCCCATTGCGCCAATGTTTTCCTGCATCTTACCTAGGAGTTCAGTCATATCTGGCCCTACTTCTAATTGATAACTGTCCGGGTCTTCTTCTTCGTCAATCAGGGCCTGCCGGAGACGAGATGTGTCTCCTTGCTAGCTGTTAATTTGCAAGCGTATTGTATTTTCTCCACCTGAAAGTTAGTAGGCTATTTTTGAAAGCAGGGATACCTACACAATGTGTTGTAGCATCGCGTAGCTTTTCTTTCCACTCTCATTACATATTTCTTTGTCTCACGTGATGAAACATTTTGTCCAGTTTACTGATCTCTATCCTAGGCAACTGAAGCTCTTCCTGTTCATAAATCTTTTACAATAGTAATTGTTCCTGCGTCTATGTTGGTCATGTCCCTTTTCTTAATGGAATCGTATTTAGGTTTACATCATTCTTGTAGATTGCAGCCCAAATCTAGCGTTTGTTTATGATCATATTAACCCTAATCTTTTAAAACCCTCTTTTAAAATATTGTTATATAAATAAATAAAAAAGTTATAATGTTGCTCCTTTTGTAATACACAAAATGTCGTTATAGAAGCTGTTATAATTATATTCCTTTAATCTGTAGGTACACTTCCTCGACTTTAGATGGTAACCCGCTAGTTGACCCGCCCCTGGAAATATGTCGCCAAGGTCCAGAAGCCATAGAAAGATATCAAGGCGTCGGTCCTAACATTGATGCTGAGAAGAAAGAATTAGAAAATGAATCCAGTAAAAGGGGAATCCGGGGAAGAACTCGAGCTGCATCGGACGCCAGTAAAAGTTTAAAAAGCTTGGAAAACGACAAAGGGAGGGGGTCTATTGATAGCACCAACATTCCTGACAAACAAAGAGGATCAATTGATAGCAACATTATTCGGAATAAACAAAGAGGATCCGTGGATAGTACCAACATTCCTGACAAACAAAGAGGATCAATTGATAGCAACATTACTCGGAATAAACAAAGAGGATCCGTGGATAGTACCAATATACAAAAAGATGGTCAAAGAGGCTCCATTGATGTCTCCAAATTTAGCACAGTCAGAGAAAGAGGATCACTCGACGCAACCAAATTTCGTCCAAATAAAGAAAGTGGTTCACCTGATGCTACAAATACCCGCACAGATCGCGAAAGGGGCTCAATAGATGCCACAAAGCCCCGTACAGACAAAGTCTCTAGCATGCGTACATATAGAGAAAGCAAGACTTTATCTTCGGAAACAAAGAAATGAGAACATCTCCATGGCCTAACTCTAAGGCGAAAGAATTCAGAGACCATCTTTTTCGTTTAATTAATTATTGTTATGGGCTATCTGAATAATTTATTAGAGCATTTTGTTTTATTTAGGCCTAAATATATATATATATATATGTGTGTGTGTGTGTGTGTGCGCGTGTGCAAAGTGTGAAGAGAGTTAATGTTGACTTGTTGTGGTCTCATCTCTATTAATATGTGTAAGTGTTGGAGAAGTGGTAGTGATTGAAAGACTGAGTGAGAAAAAAAAAACACAAGAAAGAGAGATAGAATAAAAGAGACATGAGATTGTATGTATAAAAAGAGAAGTCTGCTTGCCAAAACTATTTAATATTTCAATTATTTAAATATTTATGTACAACTTTGAAGAAAAACAAAACAATCAAGTTCAATGTTGAAATAAAAATTTTAACCCTTTAGTTTCTGGCATTCATTTTTTTTTAAGTTGTAAGGATTGGAACTTCCAATGTATTCATTGATGAATTTTGCGTTGTGTTGTTACCACTGTAGTTTACGGTTGTACTGATCTTCCCAAACGTCTGAGTTAGGCTTACAACTCAACTTACAAGGTGACGAATAACGTTGATGTTGCTAAGGAAGCAGCAGTCCTACTTGTTTTTAGAAAAAATAAATAAATATCGACAATAAATTTAAATAAGGTTACAAAGACAGTTTGTGTGAAACAAACTCAAAATCGGCCCCCGAAGTGGTCCACCTAGAGTCTTCACCAGGATTCAAACACGGGACTTCCAGTTCAAAGTGCTTTACCCCTCAGCCACAGCATCTCCATATATTCATTTAGCGTACACTTATATTTTTTAAAATAATAATTATTAACCTTATCCAATATCCATACATTCTAAATTAATAACATGTTACATTGTAATAAAGAGAAACTAAAAAAGATTTATTCTTCTAACAAAATTAGATAAATTGGCATCACGAAAAAAAAAAATATTGACCTACTTTATTTAAGCTATAAATGTACAAATGACAAAAAGACTTTCCCCTCGCTAATAAAAATTAATATCTCCATTGTCATTTGTCATACAAAATAGACATAGATCTAACTAGATCTAGACCTAGTTTTAGATCTAAATCTAGATTCAAGATCTAAGTCTAGAACTAGATCTCAGATAGGCCTATAAAATAGGCTTACTCAGTTGCGTAGCATGATACCCGTGAGCCCGGGTTCAAGAAGATATTGGTTGGCCCCCTCCCCCAATAAGACGAATACAATGTATGACAAAAAAATTGAGTAATCTGAATGTATCGGTACATTGAACAAAAAACATTCCAATGAAAGTTGAGTAGCTTTTTAAAAATCTTATTACGTTTGAAGCAGAACTTCAACACAAATAAAAAGTCCAATGTTGGTTAAATTTTTGAATAGAATGAAACTTTAGAATTTAGGTCATTGGTTAATATGCATGACTGAATGCATGACGCGTAGGACGTAATCATCTTCTTATTTGAAGTAACGTCTGTGTTATATAAGATAAGATAAGAAGATATGAATGAAACGAGTTAACGGAGTTTCAAATATGTAAAGAAATGTTTTACGAGTCCAAGTTCCCATTCTACACATTGACATTCCTAAAACACTTCTAGGTGTCACGCTTTGAAACATTGATACAAATTAGTTTAACAGTAAATAGATCGAATATTTATTTACTGAACATTTCTCTGGCATCTATTTCTTAATGCGCGAGCAGCTTCTTCTCATGAAACAATGCCAAAAGATTATTCTAGTATCCAGTCATATTGGAAGCACCTTCCTAGCTTTAGCCTAGTAGTTTATTTAAGAATAAGTGTTTTTTTTACTTACTTGGAGCATTTGTTCAGCAAATTCTACTGACGTTTAATACTCACATATATGAAAACCTAGAAATGACTTTCTAATTTCTTTTCTTTGGATGTTCGTCAAGGGAGATCACTATAAACAGTATCAAAAAAATAATACGAATTTGATATCAACTTTTTATTTGTCTTGAGCGCTGCCACCAATGCAAGAGACAAATGAATTGATATCTTATAGTACCGGTATTTTTTCCCGAACTGCATTGCCTTACAGATCTATTATCTCGTTTTGAATATGTTGGGCTTTGATTTTCTGTCATATTTGAATATTCATAGCTATTTTCTGATGTTTTTGTATAAATATATGGCGTTAAATTTCTTTAAGAGCAATGAAGTAAGTTTCAACCAAATACTAAGCATTGGTCAGAGAATGACACTATTCCATGATCAAATTAGTTATCTTCTAGATCTTGTTATAAACCTGCTTCCCAAGTCGGTTTCCTCATTCATTGCAATAGCACAAACCTATTCAAGTTTAACGATTCCTATGCTAACACTCTGATGTTTCTTTGGCTTGCTATATATTGAATGTTATTTTTATTTTGTTTATATTTCATCTCCTTTTTATTCTGATATAATGATTACATTAGCATTTTACATACAATACAGAAGTCAACAAAACAATGCGATGAAGACATTCAAGGACGCATCGTCTTGATTGAATGTTATACACTATTTCACAATGTAAACTTCTTCGGATTCAATAGTTGTTGTTTTTTTATGTCAGACTAATTTTTTTATTTGGTCAGACTACCAGATTATACTTTCACTTACAATAACACACACGACAAACAGGTTAACGCATCCGCGTTGAGTAGTCAAGGTTATTGAGAAGTTGTATATAGTTCCTGATCATTTACACTGTTCAAACTAATATACCCGCTGCAGTTCATCAATTATAAATTCATAGTCGCAGATATACGAGCATATAATACTATTGAGCAGTCAATGTTATTGAGAAGTTGAATATAGTTCATGATCAAATACACTGTTCATTGTAATATACCCGATGGAGTTCATCAATTATAAAGTCATAGTCGCAGATCGTTAGCGAGTGGTCAAAACAAGATCAGATTTTCATGTTCATTACAAAGAGCGAAGATCCAAAATTGTTCATAGTTAATGATTTTGTTGGTGCGTTTAACAGCTGACAAATCAGCCTGAACGCTAAGATGGGAAGAGATTAACCAGTGATAATAGAGAAATAGATGATAATTACATAAATACAAAACAAAATAAAAACATATTGAGCTTTGAGAAAATTGAATTATTTGCAGCTGCATCGAAATTTTAAATAGTGACAATCAGGAGTATCCCTGTTTCTTAACCAAACTCTCCCCATCCCCTCCACTTCCCCATTCCTACAATGGTCTTATGAACAGACAAGGAAAAAAAAAGAAAGAATGGGACGATATGGAAACGATTGTCACTCGAAACGCACGGTTAGGGCTAGCCATCATTAGACTTAGACTTAGATCCTCCCGCGCCGTTCGGCGCAATGGGCGGCAAGCTGTCTCCATAAAGATCTGTCATTGGCAATGTCTGAAGCCTCCTCCCACCTGGTGTCCACTGTTCTGAGGTCCTCCATGAAGGTGTGTCACCAAGTAATACGAGGACGTCCCTGTTTGCGCTTTCTTCGTATTGGCTTCCATGTAATCGCAACTCTTGGTGTGCGTAATTCATTTTGCCGTAGAACATGTCCCGCAAACCTCATGCGACGCTCTGTCACAACCTCACTAAGTGTTCGACTCCCAGTTCGGTTGGGATTTCCTTGTTTGAGATCCGATCTGTGTAAATGACTCCCAAAATCCGTCTCAGCCGTTGGCAGTAGTTGGCCTCTAAAAGAGACAGCTGCAGAGATCTCACGAAGCTCGTGAAACACATATTTGAAGCCAAAGAAAAACCATTACCAAAGATAGGCGCTGATAATGACTCTCTACCTTATGTGGATAACATCTATATCGCTATATGCAGGATGTACCTGTACTTTAATATTTTGTGTGCGTGATTATGTGTTATAAAACACTCCTCAATTTTAGACTCGAAGACATTGTCTTATTTATTAATAGATTTTATTAATATACTAGGGCCTAAAAAATAAATATATACGCCAAAGGCGGCCAATGAGATCTTATCTTATAAAATACAGACGTTATTTAAAAAAAAAGAAGATAATTACGTCCTGCGCGTCATGGCCGTCATGCATGTTAACCAATTACTTAAATTCTGCCAATATAGTGACATATTCAATGATAGGCCTATAGTTAGTGTGATATTTATAAGATTTATACTTTTAGCTTTATAACGATATCGCCTATAGGCCTACTCTACTCTGCTAGAGCTGGCCCTGGTCCAATCTGTGTGGTAATGTCTTCAATGACCATATGTATACAATGGTAGTAGGCCTAAAGTACACCCGTTTCAATGATCAGCTTTTGCGACTATATGATGTCTGACATTTATACCCGTTATTTTCTAAAAGCCCGGTGAACATATTTCCCTTGGTTCTACTATTGTATTTCTGTGCTTGTGTGGGTCATCTTTAACTTTTTGATGTCGGGAGTCGGGACAATTACATTTCATAAAAAGCAGTTCTCTAGGCTATAAATATAACATCTGATTTTTTTTTTAATTCTAAAATATCCAAAATTTAAAAAAAAAAAAGTGATAAATTGAAGGCAAGCGTTGTCCAAAAAGCTAGGGTATGTATCTAGTCTTTTTGCCAAAGGCCTAATGTTTTGTATTCTCCATTCATTAGACTATTCGATTCTAGATTTATACTCTACTAGACATATTTTACCCGCGACCCGCGGGTCTTTTTTTGCGTATTACTGTCGATATAGTCACTGAGAGTGTTTTTAAAACATTTAACGAATTAATAATGTAATAAATAAAGCGAATGTGTCAATGTAAAAATAGTGTGAATGAAGCCATCAAACCAAAATAGCTAATCTACTTAAAACCATTTTTTCATATTAAAACATTTGCTTCTAGGCCTACATATATTTGATTAAAATTTGAAATGAATAGACTTAATTTATTATGTTCATGTGTTATAGTATAAAGTAGATCTTGAGGTAGACCACGGGCGGATCCAGGGGGGGGGGGCATTGGGACGATCGCCCCCCCCCGGGGCGGACGAATTTTAGATTAGAATTTACACAGTTTGTATACGAATTTATTACTTATGCTAATAATATATACTAATTATTTATATTTTTAACATATTTTTAGATTATTTCGCCACCCCCCTTTTAGTATGTTGGCCGATTTGGTGGGGTCGGGAGGGGGCAATGACATCAATCCGCCCCCCCCCCCCCCCAATAAACTTTTGAGGGGGGGGCGATCCAATTTATTTGTAGAAATCACAGCTTGCTAACAGAATCAATTAAATATCTATACGATTAAAACTTGTCATTGATATTTTAACCGATCTTTATATTATGTCGTTCCTCTGTTGACCGATTGGAGGGGGGGGGGGCGAATACCTCTACTGCCCTTCCCACCTAAACCCTTTGAGTGGGGGGGGGGCGGTCCTACTTTTATGGACAAATCATA